AATATTTATAAAAAAAAAAAAAAAGGAAGGGATTTGTGGTCGCGATTGTACCATATATTTATAGTAGTAGTTTTGCTAAAGGTAGATCGCTACACAAAAGTAAAAATATTTTTATTTTTTTTCATATACACTTATTTGAATATCGTATTACAAAGATAAAGAAAATAAACTAAAATGTGGGTCGCCATATTCGCTTCGGAGAAAATAGATCAATAAAATACAGTGAAAATAGCATGTTTTGTCTGTTTTATGGCATTTTACCGTTGTTTCCTATGGCAAGGATACTAGTATATCTCAATATCTTAAAATATTGCTCGGGGAAATAATGATATGGTGAAAAAAAGATATTGTCTTACAAGTTACTTTTTAAGTACTAACAATCCAATATTTTTAGTGGGTACTTAATGGGAACCAACGCTAAAGTAGCATTTAATGCATGTTATTTTATTGTTTTTCGAAAAAAAAAATAGACTGGGTGTGTTTGAGAGACTAATACTAAAACGATTAATAATAACACGAAGTATTAGCACTGTCATGTGCGCTTATTTATGCGCTTATGTAAAAAAAAACACGATTTTCACGATGGCTATCGTCGTGGCTACCGCGAGTTTTGAGGAATCAGATTGTTGTTGTAACGAGTAACTTACTAATTTACTTACTGAGTTGTCCGTGTGTTGATCCCATGTACCACGTCGTATCAGGTTACGGAATATAACAAATGACCATTAGTTAATTTAAGACAGCCGTTGTACAAGTGCTTTTATTTTTTCGTGAAGATTTATTCTTAACTGACGCACACATTTTAACTGACGCGTCCGATGACATTTGGTGTGTATTTTTCCATTGTCGGTGCTTTAAATTGGGCAAAAAGTGCAAATAATGAAATATGGGCTTAGAAGCCTTATGGGACATTGAGACAATTAAACGGAACTTTGAAATTGTGCAGTAGTTCTGATTTTCAAATTGAGTCGCATTGACCATGGAGGTATACCTCCATGCATTGACAAAATAGGCAATCACGTCGGTAACCGAGAGTGAGAACCTGCATTTTGATTTAGGCCGCCAACTTCAGTTTCAGTCAAGTCGAAGACACTTACATGGTCACGCAACCCTAAATCCAACAGTCAAGCTAATCCGACAACAACCTGTTAACAGTTTCTATAAACACAAACCATGGAGCTAAAATGCACACGTACTACACTGCACTAAATCCATCGCCTGAATATAAAGTAGTCCTGCAATAATAAATTGCGATTGGAGTCATCATGAATAAAAAAAAATTTAATTTCTGCCTTTTCATCTCCCTAACTAATAATAACGATATAGTGATAATGAGGATGAGCCAGTGAGACCTAGTCGTCACCTGGAGCGAATGATGCGGTACGAACAGAAGCTGGTCCGTCTATATTGCAGTCGAACATGATTGATGTTCGTGACCGTTTTCTCATTTCAAGCACCCCTAACATGGAGTAAATTATACATGGTGCCCACTACTAGACCCCAGTAATCTTCACGTGGTGCTAATGATGACGAGCTGGTTATTTGTTATTATACTAGTATAAACCTATACTGTTTATGATTTTTGTCTGAGTCGCTCATGTTTCTGCTGTTTGAAGAGGGTTTTTTTGCTTGGAAGAGTAAAAAACACGGAAATTGGCATATTAATTTCAAAGCTGAAGGGCTTTATGTGTATGGATTTCTTTTATGGAAAATGACTCATAATTTGATATAATGTTGTTTACAATGAATATTATTCTCTTTGTTGTTTTCTGTTCTATGTTTCAAAATACAGTGAAAAACACAAATTATACAAGCCGATCATCATAAGCTTTCATTCAAATTCAAATATTCAATTGTGATTGGCTGAAAAGCTAAACATTGTCCACGCAAATAATGCGCGCGCATGCATTCACGTGACATGAGTTTAGGCTTATTATTATGAAACGACAGATGTCATGTGGTCATTTGAGATCACGTGACCAACATCGGACTATTATTACAGTTTCTCTTAGAGGGATTGTGTTATTATGCACGCTTGGCATTTTGGATCAAACATGTAATCCATTATATATATCTCTATGTAGCAGTGGAAGTTTGAAAGGAAAAATTAGAATCAACATGCATTTAACACGTACAATCATGACTCGTTCGGCACGTTTGAAAAAGTGACATTTTGGATTTTGCGCGCAAAATGCTTGCATACTTGGTATTTTAGTCACGTTTAAACAGTAATATTTTTTTCCACAAATGTATGAGTTGTATACGTGCCGAAAATGCAAAGCGTGCAAGCATCATCTGCGCACAAATTCAAAAGCAGTTGCATTTCTTGACTTGCACGTTTGTTATCTCTGAAACCAGACTGTTGCGGAGCACGGGTTGTTTTTATAAAGTTTGTATGTTTGGCATTTTCGCCATGTTTGAAACAATAATTATATTTTCACTACCACCTTGGCATTTTTGAAGATCGAGTATTAATGTGAAAAATGTGCATCTCGAAAATAAAATCAAAATGTGAAATCAACTTCTCTTGGCCATGGATGGTGACGAGGGGAGGGCGGGAGTTGATCACTCGGATTTTAGTTGAGATGGTACGTATGCCAGTTGAAAAATAGACGAATAGAACGCTCGTTGTAGTCAGTATTACACGGTAGTCAGAAGTTTGCAGACGTTAATGTTAAATTAAATACCCATTCTCCCGGCATTCGAGTCATGCAGCTATTATCTTGAATCATAGACCTTGTCTTTTAAGGTCTATGCTTGGATCTTGGTCTCAAATAATGAAGAGATCGAAATACTTAAAGGGCGATGGTTGTCGCGCAGCGCGTGTTCGAATT